TTATTGTCCAGTTTCTCTGCCCACATCTGGAGCATATGTATTTCCCTTCTGTTTTCTGTTGAAGTAGGAGAGTGTGCGTGCACTTAGTGCTTCTTTGTGGAAAAGTTACGGTATTTCTTTCTGTGTGAGAGACTGATAGATATGTACAGATGGGGGTATTGATTAATTTTACAGGCAATTTACGTAGTAGTTTTGAATTCAGGGAATGCTAGCTTATCAGTTAATGACTTCTTGCACTTGTATATTCACATACATATAGTCCTACACAGTGTAAATATCCACATATTCATGGAATTGAAATATCGGATTGGTGAGCCTTGCACACAAGTTTTGTTTATGTTTATCATTTTCTTTTTTTGTCTCCTTTTTTATGTTTCACTATGCGGGCCATCTTAAATTCACAGTTGTCTTTTTTTTTGAGAAAATGCATCTTGCTGATGAACCAAAACAGAGGGAGAAAATATAATCAGTAGGAAATAATGTATGATTGGCAAAGGGCTTGGGGGATCAATACTATAAACGTCTGCAGAGATCCCAGCTATCCATTCCAGATGGGATGCATTCTGGCCATCAATCTATTTTGGCAATATTAGTTTCCATTAAAACAAATCTTCCTTTAAAGAACATATTTTGAAATTAATGTCAACATTTATTCTCACATAACACTGCCTAATAATATCAATCATGAATTCCTGTCTCTTTGCACTACTTTGTAGTTTGTAATACGTTAGGATTGAGGCAAAAACCTCATTCTGAATAGATAATAATCAAAACATGCTGTAAGGATCCGTAGAAGCGCAATATTGATGCACTGTTGCACTGGTATCACTGTGATCTCCAGTATTTGTGTATTCTGCTGGCACAAAGTATCCTTCTTCAACCAAAATGCACCCAGACAGGCATTATTTTATGCAGATTATTTTATTGATGAAAGTTTGATTAGATATTGTTCTTTTTACTCGGTGCTCGGGACCTGGAATAGTATATAAATAAAAATAAATAAATAACATGATGAGTTTATAAAACTTCTTTTACAAATGAAGGCAACAGAAGAAAAACAGGAAATATCAGTAAGAATATGTGAATTATGCATCAATTTTACATGCTTTGGCTCGGTTGAAATGCTAACAAATAGCAATTAAACAAATATTCCTTTAGGCTGCTTTGGATTTAAAGGTTGTTCACATTATCTGGGAAATATCTGCAAAATCTCAATGTCTTTATTCAATCTTACTGAAACAAATGTAATTTTTCTTCAGTTGTCTTTTAAAAACATTTTTGCCTCATTTAGAAACAACCAATATACTATTATGGAAGTAAGAGACCTTAAAATAGATTTTCAAGATTATTCTTTCAGATACCATCATTTTCATGTTTGTGTACGGATGTATTTTGTAGTTTTTCCCAGTTTAATTATTTGTCTGTGTATCTCTCTGGCCATGACTTCTGCATCGATTCTGTATTTGATCTGAGAATAGGTGGTATCTTGGCAATGGGAGAACAAAACAGAATAACTAGAAACACAAAATAGCACCATAAAAATAATGTAAAAACCCACTTTCAAAGTGGAGATGATATTTCATGAAATTGTATATTGGATATTATTGTTCTTTTATTTTAATTAAATTTGTGTCTGAACGTTGCTTTTCTTATGAGAAAAACTGAAGTCAATATAATTTTAGTGATGGCACAGTTTTATTATTCAATATCAGTTTTATTATTTAAGTTACATATTAAGAAAGTAATATGATTAATTGCATTTTTTGAAAAGAGTGAAATAAAATGCTTTCCGAGTATCTGGCAAGCTCATGAAATGGATATTTCTCTGTATTCCTCTGGCAATCTTACTTTCTTACTAAAAAATCTTTCCAATGATTGAAGCCTAGCAAACACTGTATAATGTGTCTTATAACAATTGCAGTATAAAGGGGACACCATTCAACATTAAATTAACAATCTACTCTGATTTTGGTGGCTTTTCCTTCTATTGCAGCTCTCTAAAATGTAACTTATAATATTCAGCATATTCATCAACTCTCTTAATATATGGATTCTAGATCTAAAAATTTTGCTTAGCCAATTTCTCCCTTAACTTTTGTTTTTATGTTCGTTCTACATCCATTTCCTATTTGTTTGTGTGTTTTAATTAACTTGTTCTTTAAAAAAAATCTAAAACATCCACAGATGTTTCCCATCATTGCTGTTTCTTAGCTGTTAAACAGATTTTGCTTTCTTTTTCATAGCAGCTTCTTTTCTTTTGCATCCAACTGTATTTATATATGAACATTTAGCAAGGGTTATCTTTTTAAAGTGTCTATGAATGCTGATTTAGGCAATTGAAAAATACCTTTATTCAGTCTGAGCCTCTATTCTATTTTCATATTTTGTTTAAAAATTATTTTTCTTGTTTCATACTTGGATGACTCTATTTCCATATAAACAGAGACAATATATTCATATTAATGGAGACTTTTAAATTATAATAAAACTATATCAAGTATAGCACATCAGTAAATCAATAAAGCTGATAACATCAAGTATTGTTAAGAAATTAAAATACTGATTTTTTTATTAGTCAGTGAAAGTTGAGAAACATTATCCAACCCAATCAGCAATTTATGCTTTAATATTATCTAAATCATAATTCCATCCTGTAAATTTATACCATCCACAACTGCTACAAATACATTACAATTAAACATGGTTGTTCTATAATCTGTAATGTCCACTTTTGTCACTGTTCATTTTATACATTGCAATTTTTGGATTTATGTGGCTAATGTGGCTGATATGAAAAAAAAACCAATTAACTGAATTAAACATTATTGAATTGTTTAATTCCGGGATTAAGGAAAGGAATGAATTGTAGCAATGCAAGTGCTGTAAATGTAATGTAAGATTTGTGGTAATATTGGGGAGAGTAATGAAAATGCAAATAAAATTTGCTGTTTGTGGCTGGAGACCACAATACCATTGCCTTCTTTCTAGGGCTGACAGAGAGTGATTAGCCCAAAGTTACCCAGTTGGCTTCATACCTAAGGGAGGACTACAATTCACCTGACTGGACATTCATTTGTCTGAGACGATATAGGTCAGGGGTAGGCAACTTTGGCTCTTTTATGACTCAGCATAGCTGACTCGGGAATTCTGGGAGTTGAAGTCCATGAGTCATAAAAGAGCCGAGTTGCCTACCCCTGGTATAGGTTCTCCTGCTTGAGCAGGGGGCTGGACTAGAAGACCTCCAAGATCCCTTCCAGCTCCTATCCTATCCTATCTTATCCTATCCTATCCTGTCCTGTCCTGTCCTGTCCTGTCCTGTCCTGTCCTGTCCTATTCTATTCTATTCTATTCTATTCTATTCTATTCTATTCTATTCTATTCTATTCTATTCTATTCTAATTCACAGTCTCGTTTTTAAGATCAGCTGTATAGGAATCAGCGGTCAAGAAATATGTTACACACTAGTACAGGGCTTTTCAACCAGTGGTACGGGTACCATCTGTGGTACATTGGCACCTGGCAGGTGGTACGCGACCATCCTAGAAAAGTGGTAGCGGGGGAGGGGAATGAGCTGAACCGGTGGCAGCACCGCACAAGCCTGAGCGAGAAATGGCTGGAGCTGCAGGGCTGTCAGGGCTGAGCGGAAGCGCCAGGATCAGTGCCACTTTCCGGCTGATCGGTGCTTCTTCGGGGCTGTCAGGGCTCAGTGGAAGCGCCAGGATCAGCGCCAGGCTCCAGCTGGAGCTCGGCGCTGATCCTGGCGCTTCTGCTGAGCCCAGAAGAAGCGCCGATCAGCCGGAATGTTGCAGCATCTCCAGACTCTTGTGATTTACATTCAGATGCTTGGCAACTGATTCATATTTATGACGGTCACAGTGTCCCAGGGTCATGTGAAGTGACCAAAACCTGCTGCAACCATCCAGCAGATGGGGGGAATAAAAACCAAACACCCCCTCTACCCCACCCCCACTGCCAATCCTCAACAGAAATGCTCACAACAATGAAAACCTCGGACAGGAGGAAGAGTGCCGCTGGGTGGGCAGGCAGGTGTCTTGCTTGGCGGTGGCTTGCAGGGCACTTTTTTCAGTGCCATTGAAACTTTGAACAGTCACTAAGCGAACTGTTGTAAGTCGAGGACTACCTGTACTTTATCACTTTTTTACTTTTTTTTTTTTTTTTGGTCATCAGGTTTTTGACACCTTGCTAGGCAACTGGTGGTACTCGGATGTTGCCATATCCTAAAAGTGGTACAATGGGTGAAAAGGTTGAAAAGCCCTGCACTAGTACATAGTAGGTTACTTATGAAGCTTTAGAAAAGATATTCAGATGTTGGAAAAGACTCTTGAGAATATCATGGACAGTCATGAAAACAAACAAATGGATTATAAGATAAATCATTCCAGGTTTCTCATTTGAGGCATCAATAATCAGGCTCAAATTATCATATTTTGGATACTTTGTATGAAGATCTAATTCTCTTGAGAAGCCTATAATTCTCAAGAGAAAGAGAAGAAGAGAACCAACAGCAAACTGCATGGATTTGATGTTAGCATTGGGTGCATTATTGGAAAACTAAACTTGAAGGACTCCGATGAGGACATATATTATTCTGGAAAAGGTCAATCTATGAAGTCACTAAAAGGTGACACTGACTTGATAGCACATGATCAATTAATCAATAAGAGGTCCAGGTGAATTAAAACCAAACATGTACTTTTGTACTATTTATTTTATTAAAGGTATATCTCGTGGCATGGTTAAGTTATATCAAAGTGGAATTTTGCTGCTTTTGTGATTAATCTGGATTAGGCCACTCTGTATTTAACTGAAAAAAAATCAAATATGCAAGATAGAACATGGCATAGAGAAATGCTGGGGAAAGAAATGAAGACAGATAAATAGGGGGAAAGCATTATGGTACAAACATATAATTAGATTTAATTTACAGGCACATATGTTGATTAACAATTGTATTTTCTTTTGTTTTAGAAATCTCTTTTAAGATGTATTTTGTTCTCAGAAAATGCTGTCTAGGTAAGCTAAACTCTTTTAATGGGATCTGATTTTGGGAACAATCCAGGTTTATGTTTTTTAACAGCTTCCTCCTATCTAGCATCCTTCAGCTATAGTGGAATTATAGTAGCTAGAATTTCTGCCAATTTGGTCAACAAATATCTCTTGATAGGATGATTCAAGAAAAATGGAGAAGCATCAGTATTTTCTCTCAAATGTACCCCAATGGCTGATGAATTATATCATGTCTCCTGGACAAACTGCAATGATCTATCTAGAGGTGGGCACAGTTGGCCTTACAAAATTCTTTTATTAAATTTGTAGAAACTGAATTGACAATTTTTCCCAATTGTTCCTGGAAAAGAAATAATTCTACAGACTTTCCTTATGGGCAGGATTTGTTCTTAGTAATGACATAGGAGAAGTTAAATATTTGAAATACCTTAAAGTTGCTGGCATAGGAATCTTTCTAAGGACATATATCAGTAACATTCATCTTTACAACATTTATCTTAATAGGATTTAAATAATCTATTATAGACTGGGCAAAGACTATAATAAAGATATCTGAATTTGAATTTAAACCATCTATTTATATCAACATTGTCAACACCAGAAATAATTGTCACCCTGGGCTGCAGTAGCCCTAAATGGAGACTGCTGGAGGCTGGATGATATGGACAAGCTCAAGGTCAAATTTGATCCCGCACTAATTCTGAGGATCTTCCATCTCTGACAGAGTTGAACTCCCTGTACAGAACAGGCTCATTTTTTGAAGTCTTCTTGAGTCATAACTCATGTAGAAAAAAAGGTAGCTGTTGTGGCTTAGATGGCTTGGAGAGCTTCACTTGTGTGTGGGTCTTAAAACATTTTAAGTTCTTGTTTCCTCTCTTTTATAAAAAGTGAGTCATTCTTTAAATAATAATATTTAAAATACCATCCTAAAAAATTAGACTTTTTCTTACAACAAATGATAGTGTTACTGGAGCATGATCAGATGTTACAATAGGGCCTACATTGCATTTATCCATCTGATCAGCTGAGGTTTGAGATAATAAACAGTAATCAAGCTGGGAATAAATCTGATGTAGAGTTGGAAAAAAAAGCTGACCATTAAAAGTTCAACATATAAATGTATAGTATTTTTTTCCTCATTTGAGAATTAAACTTAGTTGAAACAATATTATAATCTAAAAAAAGATTTAAAACTTGATTAAAACGTTTAGCCATAAATATCTCATACTAAACTAAACTAAACTAAACCAAACCAAACCAAAGCAAACGTCTAAACTAAACTGATATTCAAATTACTCGAGTAAAACATCTGAATGGTCCTTTATATAATACAAAACATTTTTGCTAGACATCCTACTAGGTCACTTATTATTATTTTTTTATATTAGGTGTATTAAGCTTATTGGCATTGCATTTTGGCTATCCTAATACAAGACTTGGAGCCATAGTGTAAGATTCAGTTGTTCTACAAACACAAAGGTAATCTGTAAAAGTTCACATGCTAGAGTTGCCAGAACCCCTTGCACTAGAACATGTTGGCTTTTTCTTTCTGATTGACTAAGAAAATCAATGTCTTTGATATTGTGAAATTACAAAGTAATTAATTCCTTTGGTATTAAGGACCAAAGTTATGAGGAGAACTGAAGATGTTTTTGCTGGAACAAAGAGAACCAAATATTTGTTGCAAGTCAACTAAACATGCTGCTTTGATGTTTTGCCTGGGAAATAATGGAAAAAAGGAGTGGGAAGAGATTTCTGTGCATTGAAGGGATATTCTGTTATTTCTTGGTTTACCTATGTTGATTTAAAAATTAATCCACTAGAAAGAAAATAACCAAAGGCTAGATTCTACAAAACCACCAGGGAAATGTCTATGATATGTTTACCTGTATATACAGAAAAAAACTTTTTTTCTCTGTTTAGGAAGTAAAACTTTCTATGGAACTCACAATGAGTGACAATTATTCTACTTTTACCAGAACCTCAATCTGGAAATTCTAGTCCAGAAATTAGCACGTTTTACAAAAGCCTCATATAGGCTAGCCTTTCCCACTAATTGCCCTCCAAGTATGTTCAATTACCAATCTCAGAGAATCAATTTGGAGAAGATAAATGCAGGTCAGTGTTTCTCAACCTTGACAACTTTAAGATGTGTGGACTTTAATTTTCAGATTTCCCCTTAAAGTTGACAAGGTTGAGGAACTCTAATGTAAGTGATCTTAGGGTTGGGTAATCAGTGCTTTATTCAGGGCTTTCCCAGCAGAAGGCAACATATTTAGTAGCAGGCTTTGCCTCAATGGATCTGTTCTTATCAGCAATCTGTCTCCCCAGCTCTGCAAAAGTTTAAGACTGCAAAAATTAGGTTAAGGGCTTTTAACAGTCCATTCAGCATCTTAGAACTCGTCATTTCTCTGGTCTTTTCAGCCTGTTTAAAGTGTCAATTGATTTTAGCTTCCTGCTGAGGCAACATCCTCTTATAGAAGTGAGGATGAAATGAAAATTGGGGAAATATGCTGTCAACAAATGTTTATGAATCAACAGATTGCCAGAATAACTGTTAGAATTAAAAACTGAAGGAAACAGTTCCACCTCTAATGTTGGAATGGTCAGATGAGACGTAAGACTGGTGATGGAAAAGGAGAAGCCTCTGCTGCTTGCAGTAGTGTTTTCTTCTAGTAAAGTGGAATTTTATTATTTTGTACTAACAACATAGTCTGTCCTTAGCAACTATGAGATGGATGCTCTTTTAGATGCCCTAACTATTTAGACTGAATCCAACTCCTAGTTTGTGGAGGCTGTAGGCTCTCCATGTTACCCTGTCATAGATGGCGATCTACTTGACACACAGTGCTGACAGGCTAACAATAATAAAATAAGCAGCAATAAAAAAGCAATCTTAAAGACCACTAACTTAGATCAACTCAAAAACAACAATGATATCCAGACAGGTTCACTAAACACTTTGACTCAATGCTCAGAGGAAGGTCCAGCTCTTCAGTGCTTTACAAAAAGGAAGCAGGGTTGGGGCTCTCAGGAGTTATGCTGTCCCATAGAATCAATGCCATGATATAACAGGTATATTTCCTGGGTACCATTAAATGTCATGACATACTAGAGGGGATCTGGAGCATACCCATATGGCTAGAATCGGTGGATAAGCAAAGATGACTGGAGACAAGTGGTCCTTCAAATCTGACCCTTGGTTATGAAGGGCTTTGTAGGCTTCAGTGAGTGACAATGTTGCAGGAGGAATACTTAAGCTATTCAAAGCCCTATCACACATTTCATTTAACTTTTCCACTGAGGGACCAGGATGCTTTAAATATTGTAGTTGGCACTCTATCTCCTTAGTTCTTGTTTATTCTTAGTGCTAAACCATGACCACTTCTATTTTCCCCTTCCTTCTGAGTATTTCAACTAATGGTATGACCCTTACTCCTTTCTACTGCTGGCTGAGCAGAGTATTGCTACTCCTACTGCATTGTCTTCCTTCTCAGTGCCTCTAGGACTGACTACAAGGGATATGCAGGAAAGGCGCTCAAAGCCATTTAAAAAGACAAAGGTTGATGGACAAAGTAAGAATTGAAAAACTGTTGCTAAAACTGTTTTAGACAATAGAATGGGGTGGTAGTGATAGTGGTGGTAATGAGATGAAGCCAGTGTTAGTTTCGATTAGGGTCTACAGTAGTTCCCAGTTATCTAGCTTCTGACCTCTGATCAATAGAAGATTTGTATTCTAAAATTCAGATAGAAGATTTATATTCTAAACTTCAGAAGTAGTGGTCTCAAGACAGGTGCCACATTATATGAAAACTATTCTATTTATATGATTTATTATGCATCTTTGAAGAATAACAAAGTGGCGTACTTACTTATATACAATGCAATCAACCAATATGCATATAAAGTCAACATTTTCTGGTAATCTACTGGGGAAAAACCCAGAAGTTCATGTTGTAATAGGCAGAAGGTATTCTGTGAAAGACTCCACAGTCCAACCCTGAGCTACATATATTGTCTTCTATGAAAATATATTCCCTTAGGAAGCCACATCAAGTGCTGCCACCTATTGGGTTCCTTTCCCCCAGGTCCCTAGCCATCATGCCAAGGAAATATAGCAATAAAGTCTTTGTGATTTTAAAATGCCCCCCCCCAATATATTAACATAACTTCACCAGAAAGCAAGTTTAAAATGGGGTAAATAAATTTGGCCCACCCACTTGGTACCATCATGGCCTTGTTGTCAGACTTCTTGTTATTCACAATCCCATGAGGGAAAAACAAATTGCTGATGACATTATACACGCTGGAGCTTTAAAAGCAGGAGTTAATGATCAATTTGAACTGTGCTCAAATATAAAAAAAAATATAGTGAAATTATATTTCCTGACCAGTTCCAGTAAGTAACACAAGCAAAATCTATGGGTGCCATTAGGAATTGCTGGGGGAATAGTCTGCCCTGTTTCACCTGAAGTAACCTACTACTTTCAAGTATAATCACGGTTACTGTCCCATTATTGGCATTAGAGTATACTTTAACTGTCAGTTGGGTTGACTTTTGAAACTTGTATGTGAAGTGAAAATGGCAGCTTGTTCGTCACCTCAGATAGCAGAATGCTTAAGGGTTGGAAAAACATTGCAATCGTGAAACCTGCAGTTTTCTGGGCCTGAAATGACCATGGTAAGGCATCTCTGCCCTGAAAATTTGCAGCATGGTTCTACCAACAGTAGGATGAATCTTCCTTGAACATATATCATTTCTTTGTGACATAACACCAGCGCTGACATGTTTGAGTGCTCACAGTGAAGCTTGTCCCCTTCGTCAAATAATTCATATTAGTCGCTATTACTACATTAGTTTGATTGGAGATGAGCAACCTTTGGAAGTCTGGAACCCTTATTTCTTTTTAGAAGGGCAAAAGCCAAATAGGTTGGTGAGGCTATGATCTAAATTGGGCTGGGTCATATCATGCATGCATGTAGGCAGAACAAAGGTTTTCATATTTGAGTTTTGGGTTGGGAGTCCTGGGCTGTATTTCTTTTTTTAATCTTATTGATGCTGTAGTTTTTGTGTGCTTCTTGCCTCAAATTAGGGGGAAACCATACTACTGAGTTTTGCCTGAGTTGGGGTGAAAGATTCTTTAAAACTTGGCTCTGGATCCTCAGGTTACCCTCCTCCGATTTAGATGAATGGGAGGTTTCAAGAGAATTATCTTTCCCACCCACAGGCAGTGGATCAGGGGGTTCTCACAGGATCACCATTTTTATGTCTGAGTAGGACTGTTTCTGTACTCGTTGGTCTGCTAAAACTGCTATTGTAATATTTTTGCCCCAATATACATGGCCAGGAAGTGAGAGTGAGGAGGGGGGGATTTTCTTTTTAAAAATGTATTTATATAGCCTTACGTATTGCTGTTTTCCAGATTAAATGTTGGGGGATGAATGATTAAGAAAGCGACATTTGGCATCCATCTCACTCCAGCATGTCCCTCTGTGCATCGTCTCACAAGGAATGTTCTCATTTGCCACCAATTCAAGATCTCGGATGTAGTAAAAGAGAAGCCAAAAGCGCCGTCTCTGAGCACAGCTCTCCCATCCCTTTCAGCTGCAGCCAGGCTGCTCTGACGGTCGAGCACAGCCCCATCTACATTCCATCCTGTTACATGGAGAACAGACCCGACTACTCGGCCATGGCTTTCTACAGCCCTTCGATGATGAATTATAACATTCCAGGCAATTTCAGCGATTCAGAAAATGCCACTTTAAGACAGGCAGCGAGTCCAAATATGTTGTGGACCAGTCCTGGTCACATATCTCCTCTGACAGTACACTGCCAATCATCGGTTTTATATGCAGAGCAACCGAAAAGCCCTTGGTGTGAAGCCCGACCTGTGGATCACGTCTTGCCTATGCACAGGTAATTTTAAAAATTATCTATTTAGTGCTAAATATCCAGTCCAGTGTAATATGACCAAGAAACAGAATGCAAAATGCTTAGGCAAAATGTCTGAATAATTGTGTTTAAATATAGGTCATGGGGTGAAGAAACACAGTCCTAAGTGATGATAAGCCTTTTGCCTTCCTTGGAATCTGTCTGATAGCAGCTTGAAGGGCCCATCTGTTTTAAATGGGGCAAACAGCATGAATTATTTCTCCAGAATTGCTTCTCTGATCAAAGTATTGTTTCTTCCACCCACAATTTGCTTTCAAAGTTGGGAGAGCCAATCAGACATACCCCATGAATGTATATTTTGCCTTTTTGCTTTGAAATAATGAAAAGATAGAAATTCTTATTATTTATCCATGTTCTTAAGTAACTCTTATTTCAATGAGAATATATGAACACAGTTCAGTCACAGGTTTAGATATTGGAAGTCAGAGCTAAGATGAAATTTGAACTTTCACACATTTGGTTTGACATTTAGGGGATGATGTAAGAGAACAGAAATCTTGGGAAAGGGTTTTGATGGTGCAATAAATATATTCAGACTGTTTTTAAAAATATTTCTGAGTTTCTGATAACGCAAAATTGTACCTGCATAGTATTTGTGATGTATAGAATTCAGTGGGATTATTTCTCATTGCAAGGCTGATTTTTTTTTTCTTTTAGGAAAAAAAGGAGCTATATTTATTAAATAATTTACTTTTTTCTCCTGTACTTAGAGAATTATTTTTTCTGGACCATCCATTTTCTCTGATATGCAATGGGAAGAATTAGCATATGATAGACTCTCAGTATAATTGGACTAGAGGAACCTCAAACAAGTCCTGCATTTTGATCCTACAGTGGTCAACTTGGAGACTATGGGGAGTACACAAATAGGACATTAACACAATACCTTTCTGTTTTCCTCAGAAATTGGCATGCAGAGGTGCAGCCCCTCTGATGCTGGAGAAATATATAACTATCAGGGCTAGTAGCCACTGTTTGTTTTCTATCCTTCATTAATTTGTCTAATCCTATGATAAGACTGCCCACATTGGTGGCCATTATTTCATCCGGTGGTAGCAAGTTTTTGTTTAATTGATTTACTAAGATGAACAAGGCATTTTGAATCCAAGAGCTTAAGACATTTAAAATGCCCCAGCTTTGAGTTCTAGGCATTCTGGACATATTTCAACTTTGTAATACTTTGTTTTAGTTTGAAACAGGTGCTTTAAGCTTAAAAGGAATTTTCCAACCATTCTGAAGCACTCAAAATTTGATTTTAGACCACCCCTAGATTAAAGAGGCATTTTAAGAATTCCTATCTATTTTGAATTTCCCATCATTCAGCTTTATTGTATAACTCTGTGCTTGGAATTTTCATGGAAATTAAAATGATTTTAGAGAACTCTAGGGTAGACATCTTGCCAAGTATAGAAATTTAGTAGGTTAGTGGCTATGAAAGTATCTAAAGTTACTGAGCAAAGAATGATAAATTTTCTGGATAATACAGAATTTCTTCTGCAAGTAACATAGAGTCTACTTGTTCAAAAACAGTTCACTAATAAGTGACTATGGGAAGATTCCTTGTGTAACAATTAGGAAATGATGAAATACCTGAATGAAGGTAGGATGGGGAGCCAAGCTGGTCTATTGTTAGGCATAGTGAAACACCTCCATCCTTGCCTGGAAGAAGACGGCCTTGTTCCTTCTGAACTTTCTTTGTGTCAACCTGCTTAGGAGATAAAATTGTATGTACCCTGAACACATTCTGTCCTTTTTAGCTGGCCTGATTTTGATGATATGGGGAGGATACCAGCACATCATCTGTATTAAACGAAGACTGAGTCTGGTCACCTTAGCAGTATGAAATGGGTGAAGGATATCAGTTTATCCTTTGCCTCAACTAGCAAAATGGTTTTGCCCATACTTGAAAAGAAAAAGGTTTTAGTCCAAGAACTTTGGACTAAATACTGTCTCTCACTGTCATGCAAGACTGTAGTCAGCTATAAAATGATGGATAAGAACACCCTATATAGCTTTTGGGACTCCCAAAGGTGCCTTTCAAAAGGCAACTGGATTTTCTTGCTTTTTGAAAAGCATCTTGGGGCAACCTTGACCTGGATGATTGACTGAGAATCTCCATAGACATACAGATTTTGGGATTCTTTATTGAAAAGGGGTAGGATAAAAATGAAGTAAGAATAGAAATTTTGGACATAGTTTGAATTTCAGACAGCTTTGGGTCTGTCTCAGTCATCTGCAACAACTTTCCTCCAGATGTCTTATTGCTGTCATCTCCAGATATCATGGGAGATAGTAACTAACACATCTGGAAGGAACAAGTTGGGGAAGGCTACAGGGGCCACTCTTTTAGTGCCTTGACAAACCCACAGAATATCTTATTTGAGTGGAATTGTACAATGAAATCCTCCATTCCTTTTGAAGGGTAAGTGTAAAGAGTGATTTCTCATCTTCAAAATGCTCTGCCTTTGCACACATTCTCTTTCACAGTTGCACTTCCCCTTCTGTTTCATTTTTGTGGTGCCGTCTTAATGCTGTGTTCATGACATCAATTTATTGCCATGGAAACAATGATTGTGGTATTGAAAATTCATGAATTGTAACTTAAATTAAAAGTTCAAAGATGGAAAGAATATGAACTACATGGAGCCGGCCCCTCCCTTTACTTGATTAAATGAGCATAGGGCATTTTATTTTATTTTATTTTCCTAATGAAGGATTTTGTTTTCAAATGTGACATATAAAACTCTGTTTGAGTTTTATAGAGATTTTTTTTTTAAAGGACACACGCCCTCTTAAGCCTCTCCTCCTTTCTGAAACCCAGAGACATTTGTCACAACTCAGAAATCTACAGATATCTGGATGTGGCTTCTGACTGTAGTGGCTTCTTTTCTGCTCATCTGTTCATCAAATCCTTTTGGACTTGCACATTGTCCCTGATCATTGACAAGAAAGGGAGAAGGCTATCAAATCTCCTTTTACTTAAGAAAGAATAGAGGACATTAAGTTTGTCTCAGTGGTAAAGAATGTAATTCATATGTCCTGTAAAGTGTGCATGTAAGCAGGGATGTTCTGCGATATATGTGTGTAAGTAAAAACAAAGTCAGTCTAGAGACGTGTTTTTCAAACTTAGCAACTTTAAGATGTGTGGACTTCAACTCCCAGAATTTCTCAACCAGCATGGAGAAATTCAATTCCACACATCTTAAAGTTGCCAAGTTTGAGAAACACTGAGGTGGAAGATTCAACCATATGACTGAAACTTTTGAAGGCTTTGATCACACAGTGAAATCCTCTTTTCTAGTTTTTTGGGGTTTTTTTACTCCCTTTCCCCCTGTGCAGCTGAAGCAATGTTTCAGGCCTCAAAAAGGAACAAAATATGTGTTTAAGTCTTTGCATTTGTCAAATTTCTGATTTGGTGGACCACAGCTTACTTCTTGCACATTTGTTGAAGGAATGTGGTCCATAGCCAGGACAGCCAGAGGTCCCTAGCAAGGACAGCAGATGGAACCAATTTCTCTTCATCACAAAATAAAATCTATACTATTCAAGACCAGTCAATTTTTTTTATCACATTAGGTTGAAAATCTCAGAAGCCTCTGTTCCTGCCTCTGGCAATTAAAATAGTGAATGAATGAATGAAAATAATCAATGAAATGCCTAGCAATTAATACTCTTTGTGCTTCACTTGGCCTAACAATGTGGCAAAACTAACTTTACATGTGTATCATAAACTCCTAACTGCACAATGTTCATTCTGCTTAATCACTTTGCTAATTATTACATTCACCAGCCCAAACTAGTAACTGCTTAAATGATTGGGGGGAGAATGTGGTAATTGCAATGTAGCACAACATCTGACTTCACATATCTAATGCTTGTCAAGTTTAATATATTGCATGTTTTAATAGCTGGTGCTTGCAAAACCTGGGTGCATTCTGAAGAATAAGTATTCTATTTTTATGATTCTAATCCATGCAAGTTTCTGTAAGATCAAGCTTTTCTTTATTGCACTTCCCACTATGCAAAACGTCATGTGGATGATTAAAAAAACCAGAACATTGTGGAGGCAAAATACAGCATTCCTTTGTATTGTATGATGACAGATTTTCTCCTTTTCTGCCACCAGAGACACCCTGAAAAGAAAAAACAGCAGCAGTGACTGTACCAGTCCCACCACAAACAGTCCTGGTTCAAAAAGAGATGCACATTTCTGTGCTGTATGTAGTGATTATGCGTCTGGATATCACTATGGGGTTTGGTCATGTGAAGGCTGTAAAGCCTTCTTCAAAAGAAGCATCCAAGGTAGGGAAAACAGGAAATCCTGGGGAAAGAATTCATTTGAATGCAATGATTTTTATAAGTATCTGAAGATAAATTGCACAGAGCAACCAGGGAGATGTGCAGAGGAGGGTCAAAAAAGTCAAGATGACAGCCAACATCAAACCCCGCCCCTTTTATATGTAGATCATGATGCAATCAAAAAGAGGAGCACTTCAATTTATGTAGTTACAATTATCATTTGGAATTTTTGACCCAATCCCATTGTAGACCCACTTGAGACCGAATTTTAATTAAATTAGCACAACATTTTGGAGAGGGCTTAAGGCTATACTACATATACTGCAGAACTGGGTTATTTTTTTTTCTATTTTGGGAAACGTTTCTCTCCTTTTTCCTCCTCCCAAAACAAAGTGTGAAGTTTAGTTTTGGATTTATTTTATAATTTTGGGTATTTCTTTTCTCAAAATGTTGGAAATCGTGCACCTGAAATTAAGGGACAGTACACAAGCTGATACTCCCTAACACCAGACAAACAAATAACTAAAATATTATACCATCTGCATGATTATTGTAACATTTCAGAGAGATTTTAGAAGAGATTTAGCAATGTGCATGATAAATTGAATTATTATGTATAGTTACTAATAATTTAGTAATAATTTAATAATTACTTATCACTGTATTTCTTCCTGTTATTAATAACATCTTATAAGCTTTCTGTTTTTTTAATCACTGAAACTTCTTCAAGTTTCATTGTCCCAACATTTACTGAGTTGGTGGAATTATGGAAGGATACTTTTCTATTGGGAAACTGAACTGTTTGATAGTTTTGGTGCAGCGCTACATGGCCTGTCTCAAATGTGTATATAGAGAGTTGTCACAAACTATGTCTTGGAATGGTAATTTGTAAGCAAGAAAGCTTACAAAAAAGGACAACACTTAACCTTATCCTTATCCAGATAGATCAAGGAGAAACCAAAAATGAAAGCCCTGTAGTACAGTGATAAACTAAGACTTCCATTCAACTGTAGGTTTTCCTTCCTTCCTTCCTTCCTTCCTTCCTTCCTTCCTTCCTTCCTTCCTTCCTTCCTTCCCCCCAACTTTTTCAGTTTGAATAAAGTGTTAGATAATTAAATATCAGAAAAACAGAACAGTACCACTCATTTTATACGGAGATGCTGTATAATTAGAAAGAAAAGGGAATATTAAAGTTTAACTAAATAAGAAATGTTTCCAATATTTACAAACTTCAAAAATTAATCTGAATCTGTACTTAACCCCCAAAAGCAACATATAGATACAAAAGATAAAGCTTTGGAAGACCTCCTATGTTTGCAAAAGTATGGGAAAGCAGCCTCGAAGCATAAATCATACCTTGATTTAGGGGAATATTGGCCAACTCTTTCGGAGAGATAGGGCTAACTACTTAAATTTTAATTTTAAGATCTCTATTTATTGTTTTAATGTTTTATATGGCATTTTTATTGAATGATTGCAAGCTTCCTAGAGTCGTGTTTGGTGAGATGGATAGCATATAAGTTTAATAAATTTAAAAAATGAATGGACATTGAATAGAACATCACTGGAAAGGGCATCAAAGAGCATTTTCTTTCATATTCCATTTAAGATTTCCTTTTTATTCCCAATTATATTAAAACAGTAGACTCAAAAATAGATCTTAAAAAGTACCCGACGCTCTTCACTTTTAGATTCACCATTAAAACTGGACTCATTTCTTCCCTTTAGTATATCAGGTAGTTGATGAAATCTACTGATTAAAAATCAAAGTCCCATTTTCAATGGCAATTATGAAAAATCTCACAGTTTGATTCTAGGTACATTTGCTCAGATTTTTGCTCACTTCAAAAATATTTATGCACATTGTTTCAGTCCCAGGACAAATTCCTTCCCCATATTTATTTTAATATTTATGTTTACAATTAAGAAAATATTGTTCAATGGGACTTACTCCAATGTAACTTCAGTTAGGAATGTTAAGCCTCAGATCTGTAGGAACAGTATGAAGTGGGATGCAAGAAATTAAGGTAATTGAAAAAAGTAAAATGTTTACCTGGCATATGATTTGGTCAACTACACTTTAGAACTGGACAAGATAACCTTTTGAAGGCCATGACATATGCTGGAGACCTGGCACGACAATATTTTTATCTTTTTTCCAGGGGACCTTTGATTATAATCAACCTTCACTGCCAAACGCTGAATTCACATCTGTTCTATACAGACTGTTTTCCAAAAAGTGTTCAGCAGTTTCCCAAAGCAGATTTTTCTATGCATAATAAATTGGGTTGGGTTTTTTGTGTTCTTTTTGGTAATAGCATCAATGAAAACCAGCCCCTTCCTTAAATGCACAGACCCACTTGATAAAGCTGATAGAGACCAAGCTGCCTTTTAATTGGAATGACTCTCTGAATAATGTGAGAAAATTATTAGATTTCCTTACAAGAGGCCATTTTGGGAGCAGATTTGGAGTGGGCAAGTGGTTTTCAAGGAGAAGGAATGATTTACAGTTGTATTCTTCCCTTCCACCCTTTTTTTCCTCCAAGTAACCATCAAATCTGTCTCTATCACTTTGGACTTTTAGATGTGTGCTTGTTAGAACTTATAAACCTGAAGATGAAGAAAACAGATGAAATAAAGATTATAACAGAATAACAGAGTTGGAAGGGACCTTGGAGGTCTTCTAGTCCAACCTCCTGCTTAAGCAGGAGATCCTATACCATTCCAGACAAGTGACTGTCCAGTCTTCTCTTAAAAGCCTCCAGTGATGGAGCACCCACAACTTCGGAAGGCAAGCCATTCCACTGGTTAATTGTTAAGTAGAGCTATATTTTATTAGGACACTGGGATTCAGAAATGGAAGACACATCTACAGTATAAGAAGAGATAAAGAATCATTTTTATAATCCGCATGTAGGTCTTAACTGCATATCAAGTTCTTATTCTTGTAGCCAAAGTCTAAAATAAAAATCTAATAGGAACCTGTCTTTATTCTTAATATAAATTGATTCAGAGGATTTTTCTTATAAGGTAGGAGAGGTAGAATGGTAAAACCTATTGTTTGGTACCACCCAATTACATTTTTACATGATTTTTTCCTTTTCCTCATATTCACAATAATTCTTAGGCTAAACTAGGAGAGCAAAATTTGGTCATAACCTCCTACTGACCTTGAAGTCTTATCAAACATTTCACTCAGAACATCATGGTCTAAGTCCAGGCATTCAACCCCAAACATCATATACAGTATAGCCTCTAGATAAAGGTTGAGATAAAATGTTACTAAGAAAATTTGCCTTCATTTGCCTTCATTTTCGAACAGCTATAATTTGCTTTCATTATCATTCGGCCAGAATTTGTATTATCAACTTCCCCTTTAAAAGGGAGCCTGCTTGTCATATAAATTTAAGAAAAAACATCTGCTTTGAGTAATTCTCACTATCAATTGGGGATATATGAACTTTTTCCACAAATTGGCATTTCTCTATTTCTCCACAGAAGGAAATGACTGTCTTTCCAGATTCTCCTTGGTCTCTACTGAATCTTTGTAGAAAAGTTAAATCTAGTCCAAGAATGAGAAACCTACCAAAATAAAAGGAAATATTTTAATTCTCTCATGTTGTAGTTTGCAAAAGCAAAACAAAAGCCTCTTCTGCTGATCACAGTTCTTTTCTGTGATATACTTGCCACAATTTGCCTCTTTCTACTAAAAGGTCTTTCAAAATATATCTGCTGCTTTCATTAAGAACTGAGGCATACAGGATTGTCTTGGTCTTTAGCCCTTTTACATGCTGTATTTCTCTATTGATTAGCCTTTCAAATAAGTTCTCAAAGGTTATAAGCCGATAACACTTCTATTATTCTGTTCTTTTCCTTTAGCACCCTTGCATCTATGGAAGATCCTTCTTTCCCCAGCTGCTTGTCAGTTGGAGGACATGTTCATTCTCAATCTTCTCCATTTGCAACCTGCAATCCTAAGTGCTCTGATTAAGCAAATTAATGCAATGAGACAGCTCTAATGAACACACAGCCCTAACAAACATGCATCTTCACTGAATGAGGAAAGAGAGAACACATTTTTTCCATGTTTGTGTTGCTAAGATGCTCTTTGTTAGCTCAAGGACACATGTGACTCTTCTGGGTCATTCTTCCTATGTCTGGGGTTCTCCAAGGACAGTCTAACCAGATGTGTTTCCCACACTAGAACCAGTAGCTAGCTCAAGAAATAAAATACCTTTTCTCCAAAACAAGGATGAAATCTATGACTTTATCACAGTATTTTTAAAATGTACCTTCTTTTATCCCTCCCTCCAGGGCACAATGATTACATTTGTCCGGCGACAAACCAATGTACAATAGATAAAAACAGGCGCAAAAGTTGCCAGGCCTGCCGACTCCGGAAATGTTATGAAGTAGGGATGATGAAATGTGGTAAGTTCTTTGCTCCCTTGGGCATTTTCTCTTATAGAGTTTCTCATATAAATTTTTGCTTAAATTCCAAAGCAGATACACACTCTGATTCAGAAACACAGTTATGCACGTGTAAATTCCATTAATGTCAGTAGTAGGTGGATCTGAAGCTTTGTTTGATTACTGAAGCTCCGCTTCATCCTACTTTGGGTAAGAAAAAGAATTTGGTGAAGAACTCATACCAGCAAATTTTTATCAGTACTTTAAGCTACTGTACTAACTTCCCAGTTAGAACAACTTCCCCAATTTCTTTCCTCCAGATGTGTGAGATTCCAGGTTCCAGAATTGCCTGGGAGTTTAGCTGTTAATCATTTAGACAAGAAATTCTAATTGCAACAAAACATCTAGGAAAGTACTAGTACTAAAGTACTAAAGTACTAAAGTACTAAAGTGAGATTAGGCTATGATAGAGGCATGAATGGAAATCTTCCATAAACTGTTCCCTGTGAGACTTTAAAGAGGCTAGTTGAAGATATTATTGAATTTCAAATTCTCATGACTTCTGCTCTGTTGTTTTTCAACAAGTCCATTAGGACATATGCAAAAATATTATAATAATCTATGGGTTGTGTGTCTTTGTTTGCATTATTTGAGTTAGTATAAGTACCCAACTCACATAAATTTACTGGGATGTTGTTCTGTCTTTGTCTTCTTCCCACATAAAGACCCACTTGTCCCTTGGAGATAGCTGACTGCGCAAACTTCCTTGATTTGTCAACTATCTATAGATTGTGTGATTCCTGCTTGCATTTTGCCCAGATTGTGGCTTGGTCACATTTTTATTACCCTACTGAATTAACATCTAAGAGAGGTATCCTAGGGAGCCAATGGTAATTTACAATCTGTGAAATTTTTGGCTGATGCAACAAGCTTGATTTGATATACATTTTACATTATGTACTAACTTTTCCAGAGACTTGCAATGTGTACATGAGATATGTAATGCAGAAATATCTTTCTTATCTTCTTATCTCTATTTTATGTTCTGGTTCAGTGAAGCCTCTTAAAACAGCTTACAGTTTTAACATCACAGTTCCGTGATTACTAAGAAAATTTAGTGAAAAAATTTCAGTGAAAAATTCAGTCTCAGAAAATTCAGTGAAAAGGGTTTAGCGATGCATATAAATACAAACACCAATAACAGTTGCAAATCAAAGAGAAACATCAACATTACCCCAAAAAGAATATACTTAACCCAGGGTCCTGATGATGTTCATTTGAAATTATGGTATCTACCATATAGCCTGGACTTCATTTCCACTTGCCCATTAGGACAGCAGTGGCCTAACACACAAGCTTCATCTCCAGACATCCAACAATCCCTCTGCAGACGTCAATGAGCATTTTATGTGCTGAGCATTAAGAACTGCTGCAGAGAGTTTTCAAGCATACCAGCATTCAATGATTAGGCACATTAATAAGGTGTTACTATAGTCTGCTTGTCAACAATTTTAATTAAATGTGTCCCTATCAGGATCTGTAGAGGCAGCCATGCATCCCAGGTGTTGGTAGTGGAGTCTGCATATATTTTGGGGGAATGGACATTTTTACACTTTCTGCACCCAGGCTAAATCTTTGCAGGGAACAGAGTCTCTGAATAGTAGCTAAAAAGCATTTTCCCAACTGTTTTAGTAATAGTATGATGTTCCTATCCTGTCCTATATTTTCCTCCAGAAGCTACTTGATACTGTCACAGGTGGCCTGGCACAATAATGAAGCTGTCCATATATAAATGTGTACAGAATGTACGTACTTTGGGACTATGAGTTCATTGGTTGGTGGGGAGGAGGAACTGTTTAGCATATCCAAAGGACTCCTTCTTAAAGCAATAAGAGTGGGAATCTTTTATCTTTTCAGAATAGGCATGAAGATAGTACAACTTTTAAATGATTTATTTTTATATGGTTGCTTCTTTTCCTTGCAATTTTGAATTATGTTTTCATTTCAGCTTTGATTACATCCTGGTCAGGGCATCAATAACAGCCAATGATCTGCTATTACTTAACACAAAATGTTTATGTGCAAACCACTTTTTGAAATATTGAAAATGTATAAATAGATATTTGAAATCATAATAAAATGAAGAACTTAATTGATGAATGACAAGGTATCTTCCGGTGCTTATCCTTTTGTTAATAAACAACAACAACAACAAACCCCAAGCATAAGTAACCAAGTGTACTATGAATTTTTAAGTATTCACTCTTCATTCTGTTTAATTACTCTGTTAACTACTATACTCTTCAGCCCAAACTGGTACCTGTTCAAATGACTGGCTGAAGAACATGGTAGTTGTAATCCAGCACAACATCTGAATATATGTAGTGCTTGTCAAATATTCTAGTTTATTATATTATATTATATCTGAATTGCTAATTCTTGCAAAACCATGGTAGGCTTTGAAGAATAAATATTAAATTAATATTCCTAAACTCAGATCAAATCATTTCCTGTGACTTTATTTTATTATTTTCTCAAGATTTAAATATTCTGGTTGTAAATATGCATTTTGATCATACATACATTCATTTTTACTTTATTCATATATGTATACAAGAAATCATTTGAGAGAGAAGATTTGTACTGCACTTGAAGTTTTCAGTCTTTTAATCTGTTTTCCATGAAGAAAACAATATCTTACTTATTAGGAGTCTTGCCCATAAATTCAACCATCATCTCTTTATTCTGGGAGAGGAAAATGGAATATATATACATACATTGAAATCAAAGCTAAATTATCTCAGCTTAACAATGCAGATTATTTGCAGGACAACTGTACAGTAGTATGTCAGCCTTGATTTCAGATTGCTTAGATAAAAATAAGCATATCTCAACAGCAGAAGGGACCAAATGCTCACCCTGATCACTTAAAAGGAAAACCTTCTATTGTTCAACAAACATCTGTTAATTTAAAATAAATTGACATTAACAATACACTGAGAAGGGGTGTGAAGTAAGAACTATTTTCTGCCCCACAACTATTTTCTGCCCCACAATCATGAAGGTACGAATCTCATACTTATCCACCATGGTTTGGTCAGGTTACATTATAATTTCAATCAAAACAACACAGCAGTTCACCAGCCCATATGTGACATTCATGACTGGGTATTTAGCCAATGGCTGAGTATTGATCATTGTTGAACAAATATAAAATGTGTTCTTTTCCAAGAATAAAATTCCATTGACTAAATTTAAATTTTCACTGTCCATTCTGAGAACTTATAGTGATCTCACATTTTCCATAGATAACCAAAGTAAACTATAAATATCCAAATATAGGCCCTATAACACCATGCAGTTCCTTTTGAGAAGATATGAATCATAATAAAACTGAGAAATAACAGTACCTGCATGAGATGGTGAAGATGATGGAAGAGGAAGAGAAATTTGAATGGAGGATATTAATCACTTTCCCAACTGGATACCCTCCTGATGTGTTCAAATACAGTTTCCATCATCCTCAGCTGGCCTATTTGAATTTAAATTCTTCCTGCCATCCCTGTCACATTTTGATTTTCTTGTTTTCTTTGTTTGAATTTTCTTTGACAAATAAAGAAATAAAATTAAAAGGTGGTGCCCTTCTTTGGGGAAAAGGCTAGATCTGAATACAAGTATTAGGTTTGTTGAGTGAATCTTTGCTACTCATAGATATACTTTCTTGTTTATCTCTGAATTACATATCTCCTCTGACTTCAGAAAGTGATGCTTCTCTATTTGCAAAAATGTAGAAGAACACAGTGTTGTCTCAATGTGAATTAGGAAGTAGACAATTAGGAGATAGACAGGTAAGAGAGGCTAGACATGTAAGAGGGACTAGAAGCATTTTGATGACCTGCAAGATCCATGCTTTGGATCAGGTTTCCCAACCTTGGCAACTTTAAGACATATGGACTTCAGCTACCGGGATTCCCCAACATGGGGAGTTGAAGTCCACATATCTTAAAGTTGCCATGCTTGGAAATTCCTGCTTTAGATATTTGGTCCAGCTTCAGCAGTTTTAATGTCTGCAATTGGTGCCTATTTGCTTATTCTTTATTATTCTTTATTAAATTTGTTTTCTGCCCATCTCACCACAAGGTGACTCCTACACTGTATTTTGCTTGTATGTTTATACCTAAAAGAAATAATTCAAAAATAAGGATCTGGTGTTCATTAATTCATCTGAAAATGTAGCTCTGTAATATGTCCCTAGAACTTCTCACTGCTTTTTTTCTCTCGTCAGTAATAAGGAAAAAATATAATAGTCTGAGAACCTATGATCAAATATTTAAACAGAAAATGGTATGAATAATTTTAGATTTGAGAACAGGTGAAACAGGACCAGTGATTGCTTCCATTGAAGCTTTAAATAGATCTAATGCACAGTATTCTTTTAAGGCTTAATAGTTGTAAATCACCAATATGCCCCGTACTGGCTGAAATTATGCTTTCGCTCTTGAAAATGGAAATTGGCAGTGGAATGCTAGTGTGCCAAAGCACTGTGGCAGGAGGTCCATGGTTCTGTCAGTGAAAGTGGCTTGAGTGTTACGTGAAAAATGGCAAATGGGACTGGCGCAAAAATGTTATCGCTTTCGAAAGGAAGCTTAGTTACTTTCTTTGAGAAATCCTTGTCTGTGTTTCTGGAAAGACCATGGGCCAAACTGGTTATGGATCTCAGTCTGAATTGGAAAGGGCATTGAAAACCCTGAGCCTTTTTTGGTGGTGATGAGACTGTCTAAAATTTAATATGGAGCAAAGGATTTATTGTCAGTTATTTGTTTTCTACAGAAATATATTGGTGGGAGCTTGTTAAATTTTTGCAGCTTATCTGAGTCTTGTTAGAAAAAAAGCAATGTAATGTTGCGATTGTCAAAAACAATTTAATGTTGTGATCATGAATGATGGTGAGACAATGCGGACAGGGGCACTGAAGAAAGATATTCTCACAGGACCTAATTCCATTTCTTCAGAAAGTGAAA